CTAAGGCGGGCGGTGTGTTTTTCGCGGGCGTCTTTTCACGCTGAGAATACGCGTGAAATCACAGCCGTCGTCCCGTGGCTTTCCGTATAAATTCGGCATCTCCTGCGGTAATCATCGAGCCTGAAAAGCAGCTCCGCTCCGGTGCAGTAAGGTACAGCACAGCTGGAGCAGCGCAGCCCCCTCCCACAGCCGACCTGATCCTGCCAGGAAGGCAGCCGCGTTCAACTGCGCGGAAACGTTGCACCCTTGGACCTAACCGCGGCGGCAACAGAAATACGTAGTCCTGTGTTCTGGGGCAGCACACTCTGAATAATCTTAGCATAATTAGAAGAACAGGCATCATCAGGTAGCGTAGAGTAAGTGTTGGGGTCAATATGACAGTCCCTTTCCTTAGGACATTGGGCCAGCAAGAGTAGCTTTCTTTTTTCTCCGTAGTGCCCCAGATGTGTAGTTGTCTATCTTCACAAGCATGCGGTTTTAGAACACTGAATACATACAATAATATGTTCGAGAAGCAAGGGATGCGTGGAGCCACTAATAAAAATGTAAATGTAATAATTGTTTTTTTCCCAGGTCACCGAGTTATCAACGTGTGGCACACTAAGCACAGCTTCATTCCTGGAATTAGCAAAACGGATAAAATCCTATCTGCCAATTGAGATAAACGTATTTAAAAAAAGACAAAATATCCCTAAGCTACTTAGTTATCAAAATATGGCAAAGAAAGCACAACGTAATTCCTGGAATTAACCGAAGTTAAAACTGTATCTACCAACTGAATTAAAAAATTTTTGATCAAAAAGAGGAAGGTTATCCTCCCCCCTAAACTTTAGGTGGATTTCCTGTTAGTTCCATTTTTCTTAATATTTTCTTAAGAGCTTGGCTTCCTCAGTGCATTCTGAGTCACGTTATCTGATGCTGGATGGAGGCGTCCCTGCATCCAAGTGCCATCTGGTGGAAATTACGATAAAAGGGAGTTGGTGTAGCAGAAGGATTCATCCTGTGGATCAAAACACAGTTCATTTCATGAGTGGTAATTCATTAATGTAAGCTTTGCTAATTCCTTCTCTATTCTTCGAAATATGCCGGCGGGGG